GCACCGAGGTAGGCGAAGCGTGGCTGTTGAACTGCTACTGGTTACGCTCACACCCAGATCCACACCCACCCATACCCACACCCTCACCCACCCACCCATACACACCCACACCCACCCACACCCACACCCACACCCCACACCCACACCCACACCCACACCCACACCTTCAAATCGATTAGTCAGCGGTTCTCTTCCAAATTACAATTGACAACGAATGGGGAATATTCATGTTAAAAGTCCATTCGCAGGATATTTATAAAAATCAAGCACATATAGGATATTTTGATCGAATTCAATACTGTAACCAACTTTGATGCATTTTCTTTTTCTCCTAGAACAATTAAATGTTCTATATAAAACCTCGAGAGCCGATTACTGATCTATCTCATTTCGCTCGCACTATGTTTAATGGGGAGCAGTTAACTTGGTATGATGGAAAAAGAAAGAAAGGAAAAATATAGAAAAGAAATATATCGAAGAGAGAAATATCGAAAGGTGAAATGTCGACGGATAATCATCGAATAGAAAACCATCGAAAGAAAAATAGCGAAAAGGAAAAACGTCGAAAAAGAAAAAAATCGAATAGAGAAAAATTTATTTCATAATAACCAAGTATAGCATTGAAAGAGAATTTATTGAGTAAACGAAAGAACAGAAAAATCCATAGCATTAATCTAGATCAAATATAAATAAACTTCAGATGATGACAGTTTACTTCTTTTTTAATATTAGATTTTTAGTCACGACATATGATAGTCCATCAAAAAGTTCCATCGCACCAATCTCACTATTGTTATACCGCGAATATAAAGTATTCGAGTACTTATTTCTCTTTGTGATGGAACAATAGCAATAGCCAATGATGTTAAACAAAATCTCGCTGTTTCTTCATCATATATTTTTGGTTTAGGAGTAGTTTCATTTTTTGCACGTTCTTTGATAACGTGTTTGAGCTTTCGAACTTCAATTTGTTCAGGTTCAGGTGGATGATTATGATGATCTTTAGTTCGTATTAGAACATCATTTATATCTGTACGTAAAGTCATAGTACATTGAGGATTTTCACATCGATAATATTTTTTTGTATTTGTGGTTTTATTTAATTTAGATAGGAAATTGTTCATCATTAACAATGGTTTTCCTTTTTGAGAAAAAATGAATGATAAAGTTTTAGAAACAGTAGTCATACTATCTAAAATAAACAGAAGCACTTAGTGTACATTTGATTATCTTCCCATATGTAAATAAAACTTTTCAATAAAAAAGAGTCGTTTATAATCTGTTTCGTTTT